ACTAAACAAGGGAGAATCCTTAAAGTGGGGAAAAGATGAAAGTGGGTGTGAGGGGAAATTCCTACTGTTCTCTTATGATTCCATTTCCTATTTGCCATTTTGTTGCCACAATAGCACCAACTTAGAAAAGCGGGGGGGAGGGGTTGTCATTCCTCTTGAAATTCTTCAGAGAAGTGGCTTGCTCGCTGTCACATGGCTGATGAGTGAGAGCATTCTACTGGAATTCATATAATTTTTAAATCCTCAACACTAGTGTTTTTCAACTTATCAGCTGCAAACCACTGGAGGCTTACAGCAAAATTTTAAAAGAATTCTCAAATTCTTCTTCTCATATATATTTCCTTGATCCGCAAATCAAAAGATACTATGATTATCACTATTATCATGCAGGAGGTCGATAATATTGGTTGACACATAAAGAAGTACTCTTCTTACTGAAAAATTTAAATAAATAATGGAAACCATGGCTGTATGCTTGTGGTTCTCATATTTTGGGGTTTCACAGATCAATATCAATATCACTCATTATATGTTTTTGGAACTTGAAATTATAGTCCTTCAAACTAAATAAACCTTGTTTTATGGAAAACTCACTCCGTGGTTCTTTCCCTCCAAAATCAGTGAAAACATTGTCATGGGCCAGCACTGGTATGAAAAATGGCCTTTGAGAACCCTACTTCTCACCATGTCATGCAGAATGATGGAAGAATTTAATGTTGCTTGGACAGTGTAAATGTTAAGGTGGGTTTCAGGAAAGGAAACAAACACATGAGGGTCCTTTATCCTACTTTGGGATGACCCTTCCCTGGAATCAGCTGGTGATTTCAGCCAGCCAGTCAAGTACTGGATTCAGCTCTGAGAATTGCCACCTCTAAGCTTAGTGATGGAAATGGAAGCTCACAAAAGTAATACCTCTTCTTCCTAACTTAGAAATGACTTCTTGCAGGCTACGAAGGAAGGAGATGAAATGGGGTCTCATATATTTTGTCTGCACTTTATCTCTTGTTCCACATGGGCTGGCCAAGAAAAAAATGTGGCAAACATTGACAGACTGACTAATTCATTCATTCAATAAATGTTTGCAGAGCACCTACCACATGCCAGACACTGTGCAAAAGATATGGAGATTAAAAACAAACAAGAACATCATCAAAAACAATCTCTGCCATGAAAGGATATTATGCTAAGTTGTCACATATTGCAAGGTTTCCTTTTCTTAAGTCTGAATAATATTCCCTTGTATGTATCTACCACATTTCCTGTATCTGTTCATCCATTGATGTGCATTTAGGTTGCTCCCATCTCTTTTTTTTGCTATTGTGAATAGTGCTACAATAAACATCGGAGAGCTACTATCTCTTCAAGATCTTAATTTCAACTCTTTCGGATAAATACCCAGAAGTGGGGTGGCTGAAGCATATAGTAGTTCTATTTTTAATCAGTTGAGAAAAAACATTAAGCTTTTTTACCATACTTCTTTTTTGTCATCTCAAAGACAGTTGAACCTTGTATCCACCCTCTGCCATCATGAGATGGAACCAGACCATCACCTGTCAGGAGAACTGGTTGTCCTCCCTGCTGAGGCCTTGTCAGGCCTTTTCTCTTCAGCTAAATGAGCTACATAAATAAGGACAGAACAACAGGGATGATCTTGCTGCAAAATACTCACATGCATGTGGCCAGGCGAGGGGCCAATGCTAATCACAGCCTCCAGCACCTGCATACTCTCAGCAGGGGGGCTCAGTTCTCAAAGAGAACTTCACAGAAGGCCTGTCAGCACCTTGCCATGTGCCTTGGGACAGGGCAATCTAGGAACTTGCCTGAATGTTTCCCACATGCTTCAAGGCCTGCTTCTCAACATTTACATAGTTTTCTGAAACTGTAGTTCCAAACTGCAGCACAAAAGAATCCTTCAGAACCTGGGCTAGGAAGTGGGCTGAAATCCGAACACCTCCCAAAGTTGAAAGACAGCACCTGTGTGATGCTCAGAGACCTCTGTGAAGAAGTGCTCCTGTTAAACAAAGACTACCCTGAGGGCCAGCTTCAGAACAGGCGACCAGTTGTACGTGCTCCATGCTGAGAAGGGCCCTGTGCTTGGTTCAGTGCTGTGCTGTCACCTTCTTGAAATTATTTATCACTTTGTAATGAGAAAGGGTTCACATGTTTTTATTTTGCACTAAGCCCCACAAATTATGTAGACTGTCCTGATGTCTTTTTCCAAAAGCGGAAATGGAGAGCCCATTGACGGGCCTGGAGTCCTACCTAGAATGGAAGAGTGAGATCTAAAACAGGGAAAAATGAGAGTACCATTTCCTATTTTGTGAGGGAATCAAGCATCATGTGCTAAGCCAGGAGCCCATGATTTTAATTTCCCAAGCCATTATGAAGTTCATGGTTCTGAAATACAGACTCTATTTTGTTGCTCTATGGAGATTACACAGCCCTTTTCTGTTCCTTTAGTCTGGAAGAGTGGACCCAAAGACACACCATTAGAACCACATAAAAATGCACCACACAGTGGTCAAAGCCACAGTGCTGAACCATTTTCTCTGCTGATTTTCACCCCACCTCCAAAATGGTAAGAGATCATTTCCTATCTTGGGTATGTCCTTCCCTTGAGAACTTCACCCCAACATTCAGTTCCCTTTTACCCACAATTTGAGGTCTCCTTGTGGTGATGCTACTATCATTTCTTCTTGGAAAATTTTTATTTATTTATTTACTTTTTGCATCACCCACACCTTGATTTTCATTAGGACTGCCTACATAATTTGCAAGGCTTAGTGCAAAATGAAAATGTGGGTCCATTGTTCACAACTTACTAAGATTCTAAAGTAGCAACAGCAAGAGCATTAAACCAAGCACGGGGCCCTTCTAAGTGTGGGTCTATGTGACTGCAAAAGTTGAATGCCCATGAAGCCAGCCCTGATTTGCACTGGCCGGAATTGGATCATGTACCTATTCCTTAACCAATTTCTGTTAAGTGGGTTGCCTGGCTTAGCCTTAGATTAAAAACAGCCCCCCTAGAGCAGAGGATAAGTTTGTCTTCCCAGAGTTGCATGACATCTGGTGGCAAGGATTCATGAGTAAAAGCAGAATCCAGTTGAGTAGAAGTGAGGAGAGCACAGTTGCTGGGTAGTGAAGGAGGAACTCTTCTTTAGAAGCTCCCCTTGAGGCAAGCTTTGGTTCTTTACATCCTTAAAGAGTTACTCAAATCCTACCTACTCAGTTCTCATGTGCCTATTCTCAATTCCTGGGCTTCCATGCACCTCAGACCTCCCCCCTGCTGCCAACTGATGCTGTAGGGACATCCAGAGAAAAAAATAATTGATTTCTGTCCTCATGTTGATTATCAACTAACAAACATTAAAATATACAAAACTCAAATAATAAAAATACCACTGACCAATATCCACATTTTGGTGCTGAGAGATTATGGAATTATTAGATTAACAAGCTGGATGGAATACTCAATAAGAATTTAGAATAAGATGGGTTTTTAAATGGGGAACTGGCCATTGTTTAGTGGCGTGAAATGCAGTATGAAACACAGGACAGGGACTCACAATCCGTAATGGCAGGATTCTCCTACAGCAGGTTTCGATAGTAGAGTGACTCCTTCTCAAGAGTCAAACAGTTTTGCTTGTCTAGAGCAGATGACACAAGTCACTCAAAAATATCATTGGTAAAAGGAAAAAACTATGTAGCATAAAGTCATTATTAGGAGATTAGATCCAATGCAAAGGCAACAGGAGACTTTCTCAAGAGGTACACAAATCATGACTTGTCACAACTATGTGAAAACAGAGTCCTTTGCAGAATATGCATAGGAACAATCACTTTTAATACCCTGTGTATTAAAAAATGCTCGGAAAAAAGGCAATAATATGTGTAAAGACTGAGATATTTTTATACTATTGATCTGAAAGGGGCATTGGATCAAATGTGGGTGAATAACAGAATGCTATCAAAGATTGCTCTGAGATTCCTTGCCTTGAAATGGAGAATGACATGCAATAGACCCTCTTAATCTACCCTCTGTGGAAATGAGACAGTCAGGACAATGACAGGATTTTCTACTCAAGCTTATAAAATCATCTCCAGCTTTCATTTTTTTTTTTGTCTGTCAGTTCCTTTACCTTTGCCTTATCTCAGAGACTGTGCTCTCCAATATTTGAAATTTTATTTTTCTGTTCTCTGAATATTTTTGAACTTCATTGTTTATTCCAGTTATGACATATAGACAGGCATGAGTGAGATTAAGTAAAGCAGGGGATTATTTTGAGTTTCTGTATGGCATAATTTGTAAATATTCACAGCAGCAGATGAACGGGTAATATAACTCCTATCACATCTATTTCTCCAAATTGCTGCTAAGCAAGCAAAGGCAGTGATTCAAAGAGATGGCTAGAAAGTGGCTTCTTCCATGGTGTTTAAAAAATGCTTAGCTGCAGGTTTTCCTTACTTAACAACTAATTTGGCCATTTGATATTTCTTTTCATGCTAAGCTTCTTGTTAACTTATGCTTGATTTTCATTAGGGGGAGGGGTCTCTGACTTACCTTACTTCGTTAAGTTGGATTTTCTCATGGTTTGGCTTTCTTATTAACTGTTTTCCTTTCTCAACAAACTTAAAACCAATACATTATTGCTGAATTCCATCATCAGTAGGAGATAACTTGCCCTTAATTAAGAGTAAACTACATAAACAAAATTTCTGTATTTATTTTACTGTTTGGGGGAAATGCTTAGTGGTAGTAAGAGAAAAAAATCCAAGTACTTGGAAAATACAAGAAGAACAAGATTCCAGATGTAGAGTCTCTGAGACATGTCATCAGTGTAAAGTAACATTGCCGCACTAAGAGCATAGCATTCAGACATTTAGGTAAGAACAGATGTGCAAATTATAACTCCAAATATGTTTCTTTGTGCTCTAATTGCCAATATAGTTTCAATTAATTTTACCTGATTAGAAATTTTTTAAAAACGTTAAAGACATACTTTGAATTTCAATGATCTTCTGTAAAGAAATAACGGCATTCATATTCGGGGTTTGGTGGAGAATATCTTCTGCAAGCGGCTCCAGCTGCAAGAATAGTAGATAATAATATGAGCAGAATATTATGACTTTATAGTAAGTCTCACAGAAGCAAAGCAAACTGAAATAACCTAATCCTCAGGAAAACTTTCTCCAAGAACTAGCTAACATTTTGCCAATATCAATTCTAAAAGTGTAGCCAGTTTTATTTTGTTTTGCATCCATGTAATTGAATTCCAAGGGGCTTTCATATTGGTCACAAGACTAATCTATGAAGTCCCTGAAGCAGGTGCATGTCTGTGTATTATTCATTAAAAATCTGAGTTATTTGTGTAATTTTTGTAGGTTCCTGACAAACCAAATTCCATCATGTCTGTATACGCAGCTGGGCCCTGCAAACAAAACCTCCGGGAAGTTGCAGTAGACAGAAAGTGGGTAGTCCATTATCCATACTTTTGCAGTGTTTTTACATCTAACCACCTATACATTTGAATCCTTCACGGTGGAAAGCCATGAGACGCAGCTGCTTTTATTCAACTGCCATTGAATAAAGCAGTAGAGAAAAATGTTCAAATAAAAACAAAGGTAAAAGAACTGTACAGTTTCTTTTAACTTCCACTTTCTTCCTAACCATGTAGATGTCTGCGTGTAAGCACAGGACAAATTCCTGTCTTGCAAATCTATCGTGATCTTCTGGAATTACACTGATTTTTCATGGAGAAGCTCAGCAAACATTGCTGTGCAAGAAACGAAGAGGAGCTTTAAATAATTTATGGAGCAGATCTGTCAGAGCTAAGTCTGATGATGCATCCCTGGGAATGCCTTGGTAATAAGCTTGGCGTGTTACAGTGGAAACTGTGTGGCTGGGGGACTTGCAAACAAAATAGCTATCCAGCTATTTTGACCCCAAAATAAAGGAAAGTAATAGTAACTAAAGGATTAATGACAAGCTGTTTTCTTAGAAAATTTAAAGTCAATAGTCTGCAATAAAAACTACTGGTCAAACGATAATATGGCATGAATGGGAACCAATGTCACTAGACCTAGAAAAGCATGAACTCATCTATATCTCTTCATCTGTAGGAAAAACTTTTAAAAAGCAGGGATTACAAGTTTCCACAGCACATGAGAGTGAATCTTCCCCCCAGGGTCTCTCTGAATTGATTATTCTATACTTCAATCACGTAATCTAAAACAATGGCACCTTTCTTCCAGATGCCATAGGATAACAGACTAGCTCAGGGATATTTATACATGGGTAAATTCACTAAATGTAACTTTCCAGAGTGTTTTTCTTAGCTGCCAAAGAAAAGCCTTTAAAACATCAAAAGGTTTATTTGCAATACAGTTTGGTGAGAGGAAAAAAAGAACACCACCATCACCTCTCAGTGTCAGTGAAAGGTTCTGAAATACTAAACTCTTAAAATTTGTTAAAATCGTTATTAAACTTCTGGTATTTCAGATTGTATCCTCAAGAATATGTTATCCTTGTAACACCCTCTTAACTCAGAGGAACTACTGAATCATAAACTGAAGTTTTCTTGGAAAACTCTTACTCAAGAATTAGACAGGGTTGAGTGAGTTACCTTTCTCATAAATAACTTTTCCTTTCACTTTCACAGAGCTTAGAGAAAATAATTTTTAATAGAAATCGGGTAGATTTTACTAATAAAATGTTTTGAAACATCACTTTGTGTTCAAATATTTAAAAACAAAAGCACAAGGTGATGTCAGCATACTTAGTTCTTGAGAAAGCTTCCCTGTGACTTCAGAGTAAAAATGCTGACAATCCGAAAGGTGCCAGCTATTGGAAAGAAAGCAACAGGAACATCATACAAACCTAACTTCGGGAACTCTCCCACATTGAGGTCTATGGGCTATTTTTAAGACCTGGGTTATGTAGAAACTATACTTCATTCAGGGTGTTGAAGGTAGAAGTACAAACACTCCTAAACTCCAAATTTGGTATCCTCAGTTAGATACGACAGAGTTGTGTCTACTTATAAAAGCAAACCAGAGAATTAAGGCAATTAAATTGATAATTTAAGTCTCTCAAACTATTTCCCTGTGTGTTTTAGGTGAATGTCATTTAGAGGATTTAACCTTCAGTAAATTGCCCCAATTTGTTTCATTTTGGGTATATACACACAGACAGAGCTGAATTCAGAAAGTTCTCAATGTAGGTTCTTTATTTTTTTTCTCTGATAGCTCTGCAGAGAAGGCGATGGGTAATACACTCGTAGTTGGCAAGGAGGCAAGTGACATTTAGAGCCTGTTTTCATAAAATTAAAACTTCATATGCAGGGAGCACAGAATTGTGTTGTCTTTTCTCTAGTTTGTTGATTTAATCACCTACAATCATAAGCAGTACAAACATCTGATTAACACATCCATTTAATAAATATTTATGAATATTTGTCATTATTAGTAATCCAGTAACTAATGAAATATTAAATAGTCATTTTTTATAAATTTGGAACAAAAAATAAGAATATGCAGTAATGATGTGTTATGTATTTAGCTTGGCCAATAAGGTGTAGCAAAAACATTGGCTACTAAAGCTAATCAATGTTAAGAAGAGTTTTTAAGATAAATAATGATGTAATTTATACAAATGAGAGAACTTTTGCATACTAAAAGTTATAGTAAGATAAAGCAGATGCAAATGTAGGAAATATTACACACTCATCATGCCATCTCTGTTGAACAATTTAGTTAAGTAATGATAATTATGATGGAGTTATAAGGTACACTAGATAATTTTAACATAACCTCGTAACACATGAAGCTTTCATCAAGCTTTATTATATCTGAAGCTTAATCACAGGCATTACTTACAGCAATTCTTTATACAAATTTTCAGGCTCAGTGATAGGGAAGTTTATTTTTCTACATCTTTTGCAGAAAGTTATGATACTATATTAACACAATTCAGAGGTTTAAGTTGCCCATACCATGCAGTTTCTAAGTACTATAGCTATTGAATAAGCAATTTTCAGGATCTTTAGAATCAGATCATTTAAATCATCAAAAGTCATTCTAGTTGGATAAGATCCATATATGGAAAGAAGCAGGGGATATCTTGGGAGAAGCTCTTGAGTAAGAGTTTTTAAACTCATTGTATACTCATAAGACATGAAAATCAGCTCATTGTTATTTTCATGATTCAGAATGGAACAAAAAAAGAAGCAAAACAGGGCCCTTGCAAATACTCCTATAACACGTTCATGAGAATGGAGGTATGCATTAAGCAAGCAATGAATCCACTAAGTAGTCTTATTAGCTTTTATATTATGTTTTGATGTTTCCCAAATATGCCAAGTATTTTTATACTTCTGTATCTCTACCTATTCTGTTCCCTCTCACTTCTATTTTCTCTGTTCTTCTTTGAATTGATGAAATCTTATTAATCATTCGAGCATCAGCACAAATATTGCCTATTCCTTAAGTTCTCTGATAGAGCAAATTGCTTCTGCCTCCACGGCCCCTTTCTCCACAAATACTGTTGTTTGCTAATCACATGATATTGTTGTCTGCTATGTCTGCCATTCTCTACTTTGTTGTGAGCCATTTAAAGGCAAAGATAGAGCCTGTATAAGGTGGGCATTAAGAAAAAATGTTGAATGAATGGATGAAGGATCAACCAAAAGAAAACATGCAGAGGAGGCTTCTTTTCTGCTCTCTACACCTAACAAACCTAAGTAAAATAGGTTCTTCCTCTTAGTTGCCTGCTGTAAGCAGGGCATGGTTGCAAGGTGAAAGACCAGCAGAACAGTGATAATTCATTTTATTTTCTAAGGTGAACTGCCCTTGTTTAACTTTCAGACAGTCATTCTCTCCTACCTATTGGCAGGGTTTCCTGACATGTAGACAGGTCAGAAATGCAAGGAAATGGAAAAGAAACATAGACCCAGTGCAAGCAGAGGCAGAATGGCAATGCCATTGATTAAAAGAGAAAAAAAAATCACCGCCAGTTAAGCAGGAAGAAAAAGCAACTGTATGAAGATAAAATGAAATGAGATTTTGAAAGGCATTGAAATTAATCTTTAGTCTAACTTGGGAAGAACTGAGATATTCCCAGTATCTAGACTTCTAATCCACATATATACTTATATATTTTTAGTTTATTTGGATGTTTGTTTATTTCTCTAAAAATGTTTTTTATTTTAATTAATAGGGTCATAGTTTTAGATAGGTTAGCTAGGTATTTGGTATGTTTGATGCTTTTGTAAATTATATATACGTGTATGTGTGTGTGTGTGTGTGTATATATATATATATACACACACACACACAATTTTATTTTAAAATCTTTTTTTTTTTTTGTCTTTTTTCTGTGTCCGGCAACGGATTGCAACCCTCAGTGTTGCCCCCGTACCGGACCGGGGACCGGCGACGGGATCGCAAGCCTCGGCGTTGCTCCCGCGCCTCGCTCAGCCAGTGAGCGGGAGCCGGTCTGTACATGGGATCCGAACCCTCGGACGGGAGCGCCGCCGCGCTTCCCAAGCGGCGCACTCTCCAGTGCGCCACCGGACCGGCCCCTTAAAATCTTTTTTTTTTTTTGTTTTTTTGTCTTTTTTTCCTTGTCCGGCAACGGATT